AGGTGGCGTATTGGTTGGGGTGGTGGCCAGCACGAACAGGGGCCAGGTGGAAATACTCCCATACCTCAGAAGACCGGGTGCCCCTGTTGTGGGGTGTAGGGGTGGGCATGGCGCTCGTGAAGGGGCCAACCAGTTCTCCCTTCTCACTGACTGCCTCTTCCTCCTTCACCTCTAGGTCTCCTTTTACCTTCATCCTGGTTCCCTCCTCTTCCTCCTCTTCCCGCCTCATCTTGTGTCGTCTTCTACAGCTTTCCTTGAGCCAGAAGTCTTAGCTGAACCACAGCTAAAGCAAAATGAGTAATTGGAAAGGGACTGTGGTAACTCTTGGGGATTCACAACCAAGGTCAAAGGCTGGCCACACCTGAGTGGTGTGAAGTTTGCACTTCACAGAGAGTCAGGGTGAGTCAGAGCCACACGGAATGGCCTCTGAGGCCCCCATGTACATTCCCCCCAGGCCTCAGGTATGTACTGATCCCTCCTTGTCTAGACCAGAAAGGCAAAGCAAATGAGTCCAGGAATCACAAAGAATTCAGTGTTCTCTACATTAAATACCACCCCGAGTTTTTGAACATTGGAAATTTTAGGTTTTCTCTTGATTCCCTCCTGGCTGCTTCCACTGTTTCTGTGTCCTGGGTGCCTATAGATGGGTTTTGGAGGCTGCAAACCCTCGGGCTGCTCACGACGTCCAGGGCTGGGGCCTCACTGGCCTTCCTCAGAGTAGGGAGAAGCACGCCCCGTAGAGAGAGGGACGCTGATGGTGGGAGACACCTGCACTTCCTGAGAACTGTCACAACAGAGAGTCCAAACTCTGGGTAATAAAGTTCCCAGTGTGAGGTCAGTTTGGCCCTAGAGAGGTCCCTCTGGGGCGAGATTCTAAGAATTCCAAACAGCAGGCTTAGCTGTTTTCAGCAGGAGGAACTGGCATGCACAGAGGAGGAAGAGGTGGAGCACATCTCCAGACTTGTTGCCCGACGGTCCTCAGCAAGTAGCTTACCCTGCACCTTCCCTGGCACATCACCTGCAAAGCCAAGAGTCATTAAGACCTTCCTGACAGCCGCTTACTCCAGGGGCTTGCCTGATTCACCCCCATTGAAATAAATAGATGGACAATTAAATTACATTGTAAAAAACAGCCTGACATCTCTCTCTCCTTTTTGGGTTCATTTCTTAAGTAATGGAGAGCCTTGTTCGTCAAGCTTTGCAACCCCAAAGAGTTAGGAAACACCCCCACCGCCAGCCCTCCAAGTGGGTACTTACTTATGGGCAAGCAGGGCTCTGAAGGTGTGCCTTAGGCTCTGGTACTAGATGAGGGCTCCTGCATGCTGTGGGTAGCTAGTAGCTGACTCCTGCCTCCAGGAGGAGGTCCCTGCAGTCCTGTTCCCTCCCACTTCCAGAGAAGCCTCCTTTCCAAGTGGGTGTGTCCCTGCCTGCCCACACACAGATGCCAACTTTCTCTCTGCCCCCCTTCCACACCCCCGAATAAAGAGGTTCCTGGCACAGGGCTGGTAATAAAACAGTAAGTCGAGCACCTACAAGTCTTGGTTCTGTTTCCAGATAACTCCATCATCTGGCCTCTTAAGCAAAGGAAAATATGGAAGGGGGAGAAAAGGGTGAGATTTCAACAGAGAAACCACAGGCCTCAACGACATCTGTGCTTTCAAATATCTTGTCCAATTGTCAGACCGTGAGTCTCAACGTTGGGTTTGGAAACTACGGATTTTGTAAATACAGTCAGTGGAAAAGCCAAAGAACTTGCAGAAAAGGGAAGATTAAGTGAGAGGAAACCTCCCAAGTTTAAAGAAATATGACAAGTTGAGAGACAGATTTGAGGTTGCTTTTTATTGTATTATGTAACTGGAATTGGAAAAGCTCAATCACTATTGGCTTGTACTCTCAGTTGGAGTGAAATAAAAGAATAGTCACAGTTTAAGCAAAAATTTTATATTTACATAAATACTATATTTATATATATGTATATTTAGGAAGGAGAACCTACCAAGAGGAGACAGGAACATTTTGAAGAAGGCGTCTGTGGAAGAAAAATGCTTGAGTTATAGAAGAAAAGGTAGAAATGACAGAGTAGAAAACAGACTGAAAGATAAATTTCAAGTGAAGAAAGAAGGTTGAGAGGAGGAAAGACTCCAAATCGAAACGAAGAGTTGGTAAATAACTAGGGGAACTTTAAAAAAAAAAAAAAGTTTCCTCTTTCTAAACTAAAAAGCTAAATGTTTTTTTAAATGATTCTGTGGAAAGCCCTTATGAAAAGGTTCTGCCTAAACTTAGGCAAACTGAATCTGGGCTAATTTACGAATGGTCAGCATTTCAGTATTTCATCTGCAGAAAAAGGGAAATGATCATTCTTACAGCCAGATGTGGACTCAGTTTTCCTGACTCCTCAATCTCATCATGCTCCAACCTCCTGCTGGCTTCCCTCTGCTGCCAGGACAACGTGCCCAACTCACATGTCGGCCTATGAACCCTTTCTGTCTATCCATCTTTGTGAATTCCCCACTATTTTCCACCACAGGCCACCTGTGGAGTCCAGGCCCATGTCTTCCCTGTCTGCAAAATATAACTCCATTCACTAAGTTATTCCCAGAGTTCACCCTTCTCTGCGCTCCTCCAGAACTGCCCAAATACTCTTCGCCACTTACGACATCATTCTTTGTGCTATTGCACATGTATTCCGTGTGTACTTAGAACAATGTGTGTTGGAGAAACCAGTTCTTTGGCTTGTCTCGTGAATGCAACAGCCACACATTAAGTGAGTGAGTGATTTTAACTTCTCAACAGAGGGATGTGTGTGTGTGTGTACACTCGTGGGTGTGTACACACAGACTTTTGTCCATACTTACTTCATATATGTATTTTTTTAAAGATTTTATTTATTTATTAGAGAGAGAGAATGAGAGAGAGAGCATGAGAGGGGGGAGGGTCAGAGGGAGAAGCAGACTCCCCGCCGAGCAGGGAGCCCGACGTGGGACTCATGATCCTGGGACTCCAGGATCATGACCTGAGCCGAAGGCAGTCGCCAAACCAACTGAGCCACCCAGGCGCCCTCATATATGTACTTTTTAATTTAACATGTTTTTCCTCTTACTCATTTGGAAGTTCCCAAACAGCAGTAGCTCTGCTTGCTCAGCAAAACCCTATAAACTTGATGTTTCATAAGAGGTTTGACTTCAGTTTGAACTAGTTAAGTCTGTGGCTTTTCAATTTGAGAGAGACTGGGAGGGAGGAGTTCAGGACGAGAACCACATTCTGAAACAAAAATCTTAGAACACAGTCTGGAGGTGGTAGAGAGTATTTGAGATCTGACTCACTCCATAAAATCTGAATTCAGAGAATCCACAGAGTTAAAGCTTTTTAATATTTTTTTTAGTTGGCAAGAGATTTCTTCAGGAAGCGTGTTGCCTTTATAAAATAATGGAACCCCTACTTATTCCTGATATTACCATATCATCATCTTATGGTGGGTTAACTGAGCATGGAGAAAATGAGTCATAAGAGTGGTTGAAGGTATTGACATTAATAAAAACCTTTACCACCTTTTTTTTAACATTTCATTTCCTGTAACTCTTACATCCCTTCCTGGACCACCTGAAGATAAACATGAATCTTTGGCATTTTATTGGATTAAATAAATTGAACTTTCTTTTCTTTACTAAATAAGAATATATTTTAGGGGACCTGGTTTTACTTTTGATTTTCCAGGACAAAAAGTGACATAATGTCATGGATCTGCATTGCTGATGCATGCACGTGTCCCCATTGTCAAGTGTGGAATGAGTGGAAAACCTGGCAGCTGCAGTGTTCACTACCTACCATTTTGGATTCCACAGATAGTCCCCTCCGAAAGTCTCATGATTTCCTTGGGCTTTTTGTAGGGATGTATGGAAGGGTGCTAAACTGCACCTCAGTAGGACCTCACCAGAAAGATGCTACTTTAGCATCCTTAAATTTGGTTTCTCAACTCTGCTCAGGAGCAAACTCTTTGGGTATAACTAGTCTGTGGAGAAATTGGCACACCAAGTATTACATATAGTTCATTGTTCTTTACTAGCTAACTAGTGAATCCATCCATTGTGGAAAATATTTAAGAACTAAGAACCAGAGCTGGCTATATGCAAAATACATATATCTCTTGATGAGAAAACAAATAACTATGGATGGGATTATAATTTTGCAGTGTCTCAGATAAAATAATGAGGATCCAATAAGTCTTATTGGATATTTTCATCAGGCTGTTGAAATAAACTATCATCTCAAAAAGAGCAAATACGGTGTTGGAAATAAAACATAACTGACCCTACCTCTAAGCTTTCTGGTTTTGTAACATAAGCTACCTGTTCCGTCTCTTTCATGTTTCAGTACGATGTGTTTTACCAGGAAATACCTTGGACTGGGACTGGAGTAACAGAGTTCCCCATTGTGCCATCGACTACATTCCACTCCCTTCACCATCCTTGTGATTTGGTGCCTTGGTTTCCCCATCTGTCAAATGGCAATGATAAAGCATGTCCTATCTGCCCTATGGGATTTTTAAGATGATAAAATGAAAAATCATTACATAAATTCTCTGCAAGTCAAAAGTGAGATATTTAAAATAATGGTTTCTGTGGTTGTTGCTATAAATAGTACTTTACATTATTTTGCGAGTGGAAACAACCAAAATGCATATATCTTTTAGCTTCCTATATAGAATTGTGATCTCCCTTCTCCAGAACCCAGAATCCAGACTTGCAACATTAGTCTAGTCCTAGATTCTTCATAAGTTAACCTATGATTCCAGCCATGAAATCATGACATCTCTGTAGGAGACAGCCTATTTGTAGCTCACATTTTCATATAACCTCTGAAAGGTAAACACAGCTTTGTTGAAAGTGGAGAAAATTGTTTCCTGCCAATTTGCCTCATGTGACAGTTGGTGGGGATGTAAGGGGTACCAGTTTCTTCTGAATTTGCAAATAAGCCTTTCTATGTTCTGCCTTCACCCCCAGAGAACATTTACCTGCTCCCAGAGGAATGTATTTCCCACAGCAAATCTCACGTGGTTTATAGAAGGAGGCTTTCCTCAAAGTGAAAAAGAAGGTAAGGAAATCATTCAGTGGAAATGGGTTTGGCAAAGAAAGAAAGAAAACAATGAAGAATAGAAATTGCCATTGCCCAAGTTGATCTTGGCATTTAAGGACAATTCTAATTCCAAAACAAACATCATCTTGCCTACCAGATGGCATTTTCTGATACCGCATCTAGTGCCTCCAAGAGGATCAGTGTGGGTCACATTTCCCAGAATTAAGAAATACACCTGACTTTTTTTTTTTTTTATTTTAGGTTCATTTATTTTAGAGAGACAGAAAGAGAGTGTGTGCGAGCAGGGGGAGGAATAGAGGGCAAGGAAGAGGGGAAGCAGATTCCCTGCTTGATCCCAGGACCCTGAGATCATGACCTTAGCCAAAACCAAGAGTCAGATGTTTAACCAACTGAGCCACCCAGGCGCCCCACACCTGACTTAACTCGCTTATAAACACTAATGTTTTATTCAACTGTTAGTAAAAGCAGATCTTTTATATGACAGCAAAAAAGTTTAACTCAACATACATTTATTAATAATTTCATTTAGTTCAAATAACTTAGCACCATTGCTTTCAGTCAATAACCAAATACTTTTGACTTGTTCTTGTAAGGCTCTGAGTGGGGTGGGGTGGGGAAGACTAGAGGAAGTATACATAAAGGACTGGGCTTTATGACAAGGAACTCCTGCAGGAGGATTAAAAATTCTCGGAACAGGAACGCACATTGAGGCAAGCTCAGGTGAGAACGTACAAAGCCGTATTTTTCATAAGTATTAAACGGGCAGCACCTGCCAGGACAATCTCAGCCATTCCCTGCCCGGGACAACAGCCCTTCTCCTTTCTCTTCAGGCAATTTTTTTTTTTCAAAGCTCAATATGTTTTCAACAGTAACTGAGTCCCATAGCTCTTGCTACATTATATTTTTAACTGATAAAATAAAAAGTTCATGTTGATGAACAATTGTATTAATCCACTTGATTCATTTTGAGACTATTACTGGTTTTGTTATTCACTTCGAAAACAATTCACCCATAATAATAATGATTGATGCAATCCTGAAAATATCTCTTAAAGGTCATTATAGATATGTTCTCCTGTTAAGTAAGCCCTGGTTTGATGTGCCGGTTACACTCCCAACCATGAGGCCAGACAGTGTAGTACAATTGCATTTAGTTATTACTTTGGCAAGTAACAACTTCAAAATTAGCATTTAGAGCCTGTAGTGCAAAAAAGCTATGAGATTTCAGAAAGTTCAGGCTTACAGTGACAGATGGTTTTACATTAATTTCCTGCTACCATGTATGCTATTTGGAGGTTGGACCAACAGGGGCAGTTAAACAGTTTCTGTTTCTAAAGGAGACTCACAGGATCCAAAATGACAATGGTTATAAATCTCCAGCTTATTTCAGAGAAAAGATACAATATAACAACACCATTAAAGTAAGGATATATATCTCATGTATAGATTTACAGCAAGAGGGCCAGGGAAATCAGGCATGGGGCTCTCTGTAAAGGGCGGGGAAACAACCAACATGGCACAGAACACCTCAGAAGTGGGGAGCCCAAAATGGAGTCTTGATTGAGGTTGTTTTATATTTTACTTAGACATATTCCTGCTGTGTAGCCAGACTCGACAGCAGAGCCTTACCAGGTTCTAGCCCAGGTTAGGTGCAAATCATCAGTCTCACTGTTATCAATAAACAATGCTGGTAAACGATGAGAACTGGCCCCCAACCTCCTTGGACCCATGATCACAAATAAAGCAACACTATTAATCAATACATTTTGTACCTTGACGATGGATCAATACCATGCAGGAGCTTGAGCAAAACAGTTTAGGTTAACAGTTTAGGCCTGCTGGAATAAACCCTCAGTGTGCAGAAGCTGTGGTTTGACCATTTTAGACTCTGTTACTGTAAACTGAACCATCCCCAGCCATGCCTTGACATCATTTTATGGCTCGTACAGAAAACGCTGGTGACTGATCTTGTTCTGAATCTGTTCTGTAGGAATATACATTACTAATGAAGAGAGAAAAGTCAAAGGTGGATTTTTGGAGCTGAAGTCTGTTTTGACAAGGGTGTATGGTAATAAACCAGCCCAGTCAAATAACCTGACCATCTGGTGTATGGCCCTATCTCCAGTCCCTGGAAATAAAGTGTGGAACATCTCATCTGAAAAGATCACTTTTTCCTTGGGTGAGTTGTCTATTTAATAAGGTCAACCAGAGGTGGCCAAGACTGCCATAAGCTCAGAACACTTCTAATTAGAACAAATAGAATCACTCATTATTTCCATGGTATTTTAATCTCAGAAAACTCTTTACACAACTCAAAATTATTAAATTTCATACTATCAAAACTTTTTTGACAAAACAATGGGACTCTGCTTAAAAGAATTTCTTCAAATAAAAAATAACTGATTCCTGTTTCTGAGAATTTCTGGTGAATATAGCAATTTTTTTTTCAAATTTCATTTAATAACTTTTTGTTAATGTACCATATAATGAAAATTAACACTAATATATTGATGATCAAGAGAGGTTCTTTAAATCCTAAAATCCCTTCTGAGTCACGAAAACCTTCAATTATATATAGCATTTATAATTTTAATACTTAGGAATGGATAAGCTATGTATGAGATATAAATAGCTTGAGGATAAGGACTATATCCTAATGATTTTCATGCCCCTAGGTTGAAGCACAGAATTTGGCACATTGAAGATTTTTATGACTTGGAAAATTGATATGCAGGATCATTCTACTTATCACAATATTTGATTAACCAGAATATTCACTACTCTAAACCTGACCAAATAATAGAGATTTTACTGCATAAAAGATGTGAACAAATGTCTCAACAAATACAGTGACAACAGATTGCCTATAAAAAATAGAAGTTTGTAATGACAACTATCAAACATGCATATATAACAGTAAAGTAATACTTAAGCAGATTTGTTAGCCATTATTACAACTCTGCAGGACCATTAACATCTTTTACTGCCTTCCTATTTTCAGAGATACTGTAGTCTGTGACATACTCATAAAACCCAGGATAGCTTATAAGGGAAAGTTTCCCTTTGTTTCAAGGCCACTGTCTGCATGTTGGGTCCTACCCAGCCCTTTCACAAATGCAGGCAGTTGGTTCCTGGGAGCCTTGGATGGGAAGGGTATGTGACTCAATGCAAATCCATCCTCACTATTCAGAAGCCGGTGCCATTCTGAATCTGGGACAGTGGCATCATGCCTATAATGCTGCCTATGTGTGTGTATATATTCATACACACACAAACACATCTCCCAGTGAACTCTGAGTTAATCACTCGGAAATGGTCATGGGTTTACACTGGAACATCCACACTCAATTCTGTCTAGTTCCCTCAGAAATAAATGCACTTCCTTTCTAGAAGGCGGGACACAGTTAAGGGCTACAGGCTTGGAACAGGGTAAAGGTAACTGGTTCTCACATAGATTTGCCAGTAACTTTGGCAGACTCTAAGGACATGAGCTAAAAACCAAACAACCTTAAATTCCTTAAATCCCATCACAGACAGAACCATGTTTGAAATTCCAATCTTTTCTGTTGTTAAAACTGAGCTTTTCTTGGTTTAAAGATTTTATTTATTTTTTTTAGAGCAGTTTTAGGTTGACGGCAAAAGAGGAAGGTGCAGAGATTTCCTATACACCCTCCCACACACATGAATATTCTCCCTCTCTATCAGCTTCACTCACTGGAATGGTTCATTTGTTACAACTGATGAACCTACACTGACACATCATCACCCAAAATCCGTAATTTGCCTTATGATTCAACACTTGGTATTGTATATTTTATGGATTTGGACAAATGTATATTGACATGTACCCATCAGTGGCTTCAAACAGCCTTAAATTTTCACTGCCCTAAAAATCCTTTGTGCTCCACCTATCCATCCTTTAGCCCCCAGCCCCAACCCCTGGCAACCACTGATTTTTTTAGTCTTTAGAGTTTTGCCTTTTCCGAATGTCATACAGTTGGAATCATATGGTATGTAGCCTTCTCAGATTGGCTTCTTTCACTTCCTGATATGCGTTTAGGTTTCCTCCATGTTGTCTTATGGCTTGATAGCCTATTTTTTATAGTACTGAATAATATTCCATTTCATGCATGTACCAGTTTATATATCTGTTCACCTACTGAAACATATTTCGGTTGCTTCCAAGTTTGGGCAATTATGAATAAAGCTGCTGTGAACATCCCCATGGAGGCTTTTGTGTGGGCATGAGTTTTCAACTCCTTTGAATGAATACAAAGGAATACAATTGCTGGACTGTAGGTAAGAGTATGTTTAGTTTTGTAAGAAGCCTTCCAACTGTCTTCCAAAGTGACCATACCATTTTTGCATTCCTGCCAGCAGCGAATGAGAGTTCCTGTTGCTCCACATCCTCACCAGCATTTCATATTGTCAGTGTTATGGATTTGGGCCATTCTAGTAGCTGTGTAGTGGTATCTCTTGTTGTTTGAATTTGCATTGGTTGATGACATATTATGTGAATCATCTTTTCATATGCTTATTTGCCATCAATTTATCTTCTTTAGTGAGGTGTCTATTAAAATCTTTGGTCCATTTTTTAATCAGGCTGGTTGCTATCTTACTGTTGAGTTTTAAGTGTTCTTTGTATATTTCGAAAAATAGTCCTTTACCAGTTGAGTCTTTTGCAAATATTTTCCTCCCAGTCTGTGGCTTGTCTTCTCATTCTCTTGAACTATGCTAAGTTTTAAGATCAGAAAATAATAATTTTAGGCTAATAAGGAAGGGCACTGATCCCGATACCCAAAGCACACCATAATTCCAATTTACAGGATGGCCCTTGATCTAATATAATTTTAGGTTCTGAGCAGATGGTTATTTTTAAAGTGCCAAATGAATTTTTATCCTTTATGATCAAATATTAAAGCCAATAAATCTTGAAGAGTTCAGTTTCCCAAAATTATAGCTTACATTCTAGTCACGTTCTAGCATGTATCTTTGGGAATGACTTAGAAGATACAGTTGAGACTCTGGAAAGCAATGTCATCACTGGATCATACTCCCTGACTTGTTGTAAGTTCTTAAACACTTACTTCCAAACATTCTTTCTGCTTGTGGTAGTACTACTGGGTGCTTTATGAACTCTGGGAAAACTTCTGATGCCTTGTGCAAGAGTTATTGCTTTATCAAGCCATCATTGTTGACAGATATTGAGATGAAAATACAGAAGAAAAATCTAAAGTAGAGAAATTCTGAGAATATTACAGAGCAAAAAGGAGATTTAGTAAGAGGAGAGGAGCTTTTGCTCCCCTTTGTTCCCAGAGAAGAGTTGGAGGCCTGCAAGCTAACAGTCCTCCGAGATGCTTCCTTCCCCACCTACCTCACAGTCTCCCAGGAAGTTCAAATGCTCAGTGATTCTTATTCTAGTAAACTCAGAAAAGGAGAGGGGTCAGGCTAGGGTGATCAGTGGCTCATCAGGCAGCTGTTTGAGTAACCAAAGCCTACAGATTCCTGTGATTCAACAATAAATATATTTTTTAAAAAGTTCTTTCCAAAATATCCTACCCTGCTGTTACCAAACCCCATGTTTGGCTGCCCCTAGCTCAATAGGCCAATACTCAGAGGAGGAGTTTTGATTGGAAAGGAATATGAGCTTTATTCAGCAGGCTGGCCAACTGGGGAGAAGGCAGACTCTTGTCCAAAAGCCAACTCCAAGGTTTCTGCCTGGCCCAGGGATTTTTAAAGGGGTTCAGGGCAGTTAGTTGGTAAGGGAGTGCAGTAGTCTGTAACATTTTTTGATGATGTGCAGACTTGGTGGTCCCAACTAGAGAGGTTGTCTCAGTGATCTCAGTGCCGGGGGGGCTGTGCAAGGGGGTCTGCTTCCTGTTTCAGAAGGTATAGGAGTGCTCTGTTCTTCCTAGGAAAGAATGAAAGAACTAGATATTCAAAGGAAAGTGAATCAATCACATGGCCTAAAGGCATTTGCTAAAGTTTAAAGACTACTAGGTTAGCAGGAGGGGCCAAAGTAGCTTCACTGCTAGCCTAGCTTATCAGAATGTGTAAAATTGTAGCACTGTAAGGTCAGTTTTTTTGGCATATACAAAGAGTTGTTTTGTTTTGAGGTGGAGGGGATTTTTTAAAAAAATATTAAAACAAAAGTTGAGTGCAAATACCCCCTGGGGTGGGTAATGTCTTTGCCATCTTCAGCTATTATTCATCATTAAATGGATTTCCATGTGGGATAGAGAGAGAGTTAGGGGTTAGTGAGTCATATGTGTTTGAGTGTGCATGTATATTTTGGGATATGGAGAAAGGATTAAAAAGGGATATCTCAGTAGTGAGGCAAGAGAACCACTGAATATTGAGGCAGAATATGCCAGACAAATACTTTCTATTTCATGATTTTTCTCAAACCCTGACTGATCCTAGGGATCCTAAGGACTCTATCAGTTAAGGATTGATCAGTTAAGGACTTTAATATACATAGAAATCACCCAAGGATCTTGTTAAAAAGCAGATTCTGATTCACTAAGTCCAGGTGGAGGGGCAGGGCCTGAGAGTCTACATTTCTAACAAGTTCCTAAGAGAAGCCACGGGCCACATTTTGAGAAGCAAGGATCTAGCAAGGCCTGGAGTTTGGTTCATTTCTAGGTGGACCAGCTAAGGGCTGATTTGAGCTCCGAGGAAGCCCTCTAGAACTGACCAGCTGCCCTGTAGGACAGACAGACACCTGGCCACTGCTGCCCATGAGGGTGGTCCTGAGCGCCCTGCCAGGCCTGCTGCAGAGGGGACACACTCAGGAGGAGATGAAGTTGCTTTAGGCCAGCAGCTTAATCCCTTATAACACGATGGCAAATGTAATGGTCTAAAAACTGGCTGACATGTTTCTGCTAAATTCTGCTTTTGAGTTTTGGGAAATAGTGTTTTTCTGTGAGGTTTTAGCCACTTCTTTCTCCACCCCTGAGTTTTATTTTGACCAAGGCAGAGTTTCTACTTTACAGGACAATCTGAAACCAGAAGGACCTTTTTTTTTTTTTTTGTTACTGGGCAAAGAGTTCATCTTAAAATACAAATCTTGCAGTAGCAACTTCCTAATACACTGTAAGGATATGTATGCCAAGAACCCCTCAGATTACAAAGCTGTGTGGTGTTAAATATGGCAGAATAATATCATAAAATAGAAATATTCAATTAATGAAAAATAAATGTTTCCCATTGTCAAAATCTAGGATTAAGCATAACCTATCAACAACTTCTTTTCCAGGAGTCAGCAAAAATTTTCTGTTTTTATCTGCCAGGTAGTAAATATTTTATGCTTTGTGGACCATACGGTCTCTACCACAGTTACTCAGCTCTGCCATTGTAGTACAAAAACAGCCATAGACATACATAAACAAATGGGCATGGCTGTGTTCCAGTAAAACTTTATTTACAAACATAGGCAGTGGGTGGAATTTGACTTGTGGGCCATAGCTTGCCACCCTCTGTTCCAATCAATCTACAGAGAAAAACACCTAGGCATTATTTTTACAGGTCCATGCTTATTAAGGTTGCTACTTTGGAAGGTGATGCTTATTATGCACCAGCCATCAGATATGTACTTAAAGTTGGTCTTCTCTCTTTCAGTGTTTAGAAGGAATCCATACGCATTCATTCATCCACTTGCATTTGCCAGGAACCAGAAATACAGTGAGGAGCAACACAATCACTTCTCTTGAGGGGTATACTGATGATGTAGAGTACTAAGGCCTTTGCTAAGTTAAACATTAAGGCTATGAGCACATCACAAAGATCCCTGGGATTCTTCAAGTTTGAGAAGGTACATACCAGGCCGTTTGCGGTGGGAAAGTATAAGGAAGCAGCATGCACACAAAGCAAGAATCCATGGAGATCGGGTTGAAATATCACCCACTGGATTGAGGGTATGATTTGAGATGTAAAAGATGATAGGCAGCATCGGGAAATGAAGTGTAATGGGGGGAGGAAAATAATGATCAGATCTGAATGTCTTGCTGAAGTGTTCAAACATGTTTCAGATGGTATGGGTGGAAGAGAATGGTCATTCCACCAACCTACTTGTATACTCTCCAGGAACTTTCTCCCTACCCGACACCTACTTCCTCAGAGCTTAATAGCAAGGGATCATTTATATGATAACAAGTCAGAGCCAGCTGTAAGCATCACCTACAGCCAACAGCAATAACAACACGACCAACACTAAAAAGAAAACATAGAAACATCTCGATTACAAAACACAAATCCCTTCCAATGTGCTATGTGCTATCAGGTGACATCATTTATATAATATATACTTTTCTCTTAAAATAAATTATAGAATAGAACCAAGAGTATAATTTACAATTAAATGTCCAAATAATTGACATAGCTCATCAGATGTGTGACACTATACCCAATGTCATTAGATCTAGAAAATCACAAAATTCCCTAGCCTCCAAATCATTTAACAATATTTAACCCAGGCCTTCCTAAAGTCAATAGATCCTTCTGGCATTTGTAAATTGTTTTATACTGCTAATAGGGCTATTTTACAGTTCAATAATGGGAGCTTTAAGGAACTGACATAAATGTATAATATGATAAAACAATATATTCTAGCCTCTCTTTCATCCCTACCTGCCCCCCCACACACACACAGAAAAGTTATAGCCAGATAAAAATTTTCTGACAAAAACAAGCATTTTAGAAAAGGCAGTAATAATACCATTAATCTTCAGCTCATTGATGTTACTTCCAGTTGGATAGTTACATCATCGTTTCTACTCTTGCCAATAAAATTTAGCAGGCTTGCGGATTTGTAAATTATATGATTAGTTTTCAAATACTTTGAAATATTAGCTGCTATAATTGTTTCACCAGGGCTTGGTTAAATGTTATTTTCTCCATGAAGCTTTCTTTGCATCCCCGTGGTACCCTCCACTCAACACATTGCCTGGCTCCCTGCCTATTACCTAAGGTCTGGTCCTTAAAGACAGCCTGATGTCTTCCACCACCATATCCCACGGCCTTGCATTAACAGACCTTCGATAACGATTTCTGAGATGAATAGATAAAGTTGTGGGGGATATTAAGTCAACACATCATCTTTCTATTATGATATTTTGTTCATCATTATTATCCATTTCATCTTTTCAGGCTCAGTGAACCCTTCAGCAAGTCCTCCGCTTGATGTTGTCACATCGACCCTTCGCACCCGACCTTCTCCAGTCAACAGCGTATCTCCTACAAGTAAGAATGTTCTCACAGTCTTTCTTTTCTTAATTATTTTTTTGAGTATAGCTGACACACGATGTTACATTAGTTTCAGGTGTACAGCATAGTGCTTCAGCTACACTCTGTGTTTTGCTGTGCTCAGCACACTGGTAGCCACTGTCTGTCACCATACAACACTGTTAAAATACCACTGACTGTATTCCCTATGCTGTGCCTTTCATCCCATGACCTACTCCCTCCATAACTAGAAACTTGTATCTCCCACTCCCCTTCACCAATTTTGCCCATTCCCCATCCCCTTCCCCTCTCGCAACCATCAGTTTGTTCTCTGTATTTATAGGTCTGATTCGGCTTGTTTGTTTATTTGTGTTTGTTTTTAGAGTCCACATATAAGTGAAATCATATGGTATTTGTCTTTTCCTGTCTGACTCATTTCATGTAGCATAATACCCACAAGGTCCATCCATGTTGTTGCAAATAGCACAATTTCATCCTTTTTTTAAGGATGCATAAAATTCCATCTTCCTTATCCACTCATCTATTGATAGACCCTTGGGTAGCTTCCATATCTTGGCTATTGTAAATAATGCTGCAATAAACATAGGGGTACCTATCATATCTCTTTTCAAATTCCATGTTTTCATTTTCTTTGGGTAAATACCCAGTGGTGAAATTATTGGATTATATGGTATTTCACTTTTCATTTTTTTCTTCATACTATTTTTTCACAGTGGCTGTACCAATTAACATTCTCACTGTCAGTGCACAAAGGTTCTTTTTTCTCCACATCTTCTCCAGCACTTGTTATTTCTTGTCTTTCTGATTTTGCCATTCTGACAGGGATAAGGTGATATCTCAGTGTGGTTTCAATTTGCATTTCTCTGTATGTCTTCTGTAGAAAAAATGTCTGTTCAAGTTCTCTGCCCATTTTTTTAAATTGGATTATTTGTTTTTTTTGGTGTTGAATTGTATAAGTTCTTTATTTTATTTTATTTTTTATGTTTTTATTTTAATTCCAGTTAGTTAACATACAGTGTTATATTAATTTCAGGTGTACAATATGGTCATTCAACAATTCCATACATCATCTGCTACTCATCATGACAAGTGTACTCCTTAATCCCCATCACCTATTTCACTCATCTCCCCACACCCTCCCCTCTGGTAACCATCAGTTTGTTCTCTATAGTTAAGAGTCTGTTTCTTGATTTGTCTCTCTCTCTCTTTTTCCCTCTATTCATTTGTTTTGTTTCTTAAATTCCACAAGTGAGATCATACGGTATTTGTCTTTCTCTGACTGACTTACTTTGCTCAGCATTATACTCTCTAGCTCTGTCCATGTTGCTGCAAATGGCAAGATTTCATTCTCTGTTATGGTTGAATAACATTCCATTATATATATCACATCTTCTTTATCCATTCATCTGGGTGAATGGACACTTTGGCTGCTCCCATAGTTTGACTATTGTAAGTAACACTGCCAACATGTCCCTTTAAATTAGTGTTTTTGTGGGGTTTTTTGGTAAATACCCCGTAGCACAATTATTGGATCATAGGGTGGTTCTATTTTTAATTTTTTGAGGAACCTCCATACTGTTTGCCATGGCGGCTGCACCAGTTGCATTCCCACCAACAGTACATGAGGGTTCCTTTTTCTCCACATCCTTGCCAACATTAATTGTTTCTTGTTTTTGATTTTAGCCATTCTGGTAGGTGTAAGGTGATATCTCACTGTAGTTTTGATTTGCATTTCCCTAATGATGAGATGTTGAGCATCTTTTCATGCATCTATTAGCCACCTAGATGCCCTCTTTGGAGAAATGTCTGTTCATGTCTTCTGCCCATTTTTGTTTTTTGGGTGTTGAGTTTTATAAGTTATTTAAATATTTTAGATATTAACCTCTTATTGGATATATCATTTGCATATATCTTCTCCCATTCAGTAGGTTTACTTTTTGTTTTATTGATGGTTTCCTTTGTTGTTCAAAAGCTTTTTATTTTTACATAGTCCCAATAGTTTATTTTTGCTTTTGTTTCCCTTGCCTTAGGAAACATACCTAGAAAAATGTTGCTACAGTCCATGTCAGAGAAATTACTGCCTGTGTTCTCTTCTAGGATTTTTATGGTTTTAGGTCTCACATTTAGATCTTCAATAATTCATTTTCAGTTGATTTTTGTGTTTGAAAATGGTTCAGTTTCATTCTTTCACATGTAGCTCTCCAGTTTTCCCAGCACTATTTGTTGAAGAGATTTTTTTTCTCATTGTATATTCTTGCCTTCTTTGTCATAGATTAATTGAGCATATAAGCATGGGTTTATTTCTGAGCTTTCTATTCTGTTCCACGATCCATGTATCTGTTTTTGTGCCAGTATCATACTGTTTTGATTACTATAGCTTTGTGGTATAGCTTGAAAAATGGAATTGTGATACTTCCAGCTTTGTTCTTAAGATTGTTTTGGCTATTTCAGGGTCTTTTGTGATTGTGTGCAAATTTTAGTATTATTTGCTTTAGATCTGTGAAAAACGATGTTGGTATTTTGATAGGGATTGCACTGAATCTGTAAATCACATTGGGTAGTATGGATATTTTAACAATATTAATTCTTCCATTCAGTGAGCATGGAATCCTTTCTATTTATTTGTGTCATCTTTAGTTTGTTTCATCAGTATTTTATAGTTTTCAGAGTACAGGTCTTTCACCTCTTTGGTTAAGTTTATTCTTAGGGGTTTTTTGTTTTTGTTTTTGTTTTTGTTTTTTTGGTACAATTATAAACAGAATTGTTTCTTAATTTCTCTTTCTGAGACTTCTTTATTAGTATATAGAAAAGCTACAGATTTCTGGATATTAATTAAGTATCCTGCAACTTTGTTGAATTCATTTATTACTTCTAGTGTTTTTTTGGTGGAGTCTTTAGGATTTTCTATATATAGTAGCATGTCATCTTCAACTAGTGACTACACTGTTTTATTTTCCATGAGCTATTAATCCTTTAACCAAGCAGATTGATAAAGAAAACATTTTCAGTAAATTTGTATGATTCATGCTCTTTTATTATCTATAATATTTTAGGCAAACATATTAAGTACTATTCTTACAGCTTTTTTTTTTTTTTAAAGATTTTTTTTATTTATTTATTTGAGAGAGAGAGAATGAGAGATAGAGAGCACGAGAGGGAAGAGGTTCAGAGGGAGAAGCAGACTCCCTGCTGAGCAGGGAGCCCGATGTGGGACTCGATCCTGGGACTCCAGGATCATGACCTGAGCCGAAGGCAGTCGCTTAACCAACTGAGCCACCCAGGTGCCCCTATTCTTACAGCTTTAAAGAGTTAACATAGCTTCCAAAGCCCTTCACTTGAAACCCTGGCAAAATTAGGGTCAATAAATATGCAGTGAGAAATTTAAATTCTGTATTTATTATTAAATAGGTTAATAAATTGACAGTCTTCCTCCACAACTGTGTTCTCAGTGGAGTGTTTAAGAAATTGGTTATAAATGGGCATCCTGTGGACCAGATGTAGTTAGATAGTTTTAAATTTAAATTTGTTCTGGTTCAAATTAATTTTGACAAAGTTGACTGGTGAGGACTATGAATTCAGCCTCCCAGTGGCATTATTAATAATGGAGGCCAGGCTGGGTCAGTGTTACTATGGCAAAGGGATAGCAGTGACTTTCAGAAGGTCGCAATGATGCAAACAAATCATAAATCCCATGTCTATAGCCTTTGTGTTTAACAAAGAACCATGGTTACTTTCTTTAGTATAAAAATAAAGTATATTCTATGTAGAGGAGAAGTACAGTTCTCATTTCTTATTTAATTAAAACTATCAATTTTAGCTCAAAATGAGAACCGAAAATGAAATAAAACAAAAGCAGTCAGGAGAAATGAACAGTTCTTTCAGCCTTGTAGCCTTTTGGCATGTAGCCTGCAGTCACTGTCACAGGTTGATACCTCTCAGAAAATGAAGCATGTGGCAGGGTGAGAAATGTCTGCAAATCACCCATCAGAAATTTTACATCTATCTGATTTTTCCTAGTTCTTAATGTTTTGCAGTTTTTATTGGAAACTGCTTTTCCTTCCACTTCTAACTCATCATTCAGCAACAAACTCTAGTAGATTATGTTATTCTTCATTCAACAAATATTAGCATAGTAAAAAATAATACCTTAAATCTCTTTACTACTCTACATATTATCCAGCTCTCCCTGACCAATTACCCCCAAATTAGCAACTTTTAAAACATATATTGTCTTACATGATTTGGGGGTCAGAAAGTCAGGAGCAGCTGAGCTGGATGGTATGGCTCAGGTCTTTTCACGAGGTTATAGTCAAATGGGGCTGGTTGGGGCTTCAGTTATCTGAAGGCTTGGCTGGGGCTGAGGGTTCTGCTTCCAAGTTTGAGCATGTTGTCAGGAGACCCTAGTTCCTCACCATTTGAGTCTCTCCATAAGGCTTCTCACATCATGACAGCTGCCCTCCCTCAGACCAAGTAATTCAAGAAATAGAGTAACCAAGACAAAGGTTGCACTGCCATTTTATTGCACAACATCATTTTGCTTTATTGCACCTGTTAGAAGCGAGTCACTAAGTCCAGCTCAGACTCAAGAAGAGGAGAATTAGGCTCCGCTTCTTGAAGGAAGATTATCAAAGAATTTGTGGACAAATTAAAACTACCGTATCCTGTCATTTAGAAAAATTTGCACATAAAATGCAATACGGTTTGATCTTTATTATGAGAGGTAGACAGAGCAAGTCAAGCATTATCACCCCCATTTTCCAGATGAAGTCACAGAGATGACCACACAACTAGTAAGTGGCAAAGTTAGTATTCACACCAAAGTCTTCTGACTCAAATCTGGTTCTTACCACATTCGATACCAGGGTTTCTCCAACTGGTTTGAACACTTTGTGAGGACAGGGGACATACACCCAGCATGGAGTAGATGCACAAAAGTACTAGTTGAGTAAATGAATGAATAAAAGAATTAATGAGAATACTGTTCCTTCACTATGTAA